GGAGAGCTTTTAACAAGGTTCCTCCCTAAGGTAAAAAGTAATTGGAAACTTGATGCAGATAAACGGAGCAGAGAAGTGAGACTAAGTAGACGAGACATCTGCAGCAAGGAAGAGAACCTGTCTATAGTAAAACCCCAAAGAGGCTGTGGGATAGAGAGGACAAATACAGAAAATGAAGATGACACAAGTGGCTAGAAATAGGTGTGTTAATTAGGAAACAATTGAACCAGTTGGCTCTCAGCATTCCCGCCCTCACCCCCATGCTCAGAATTTGCACCTAGAGCGCACGTAGGTGAGTGAAGGCTTACATAGGCCAGGATCTGGGGAAGGACAGAAGCCTAGTGAGGGGAGCCCAGGATTTGGAGCTTTCCCCTGAGGACATCTGACAGTTCTAGAGTGGGCAGCTGAGAGATTGAATCATACTTTGGATTGCCTTGGGGGACTGGCAGACAGGGATTGGAGCCCTGGGCCCTGTCGGGGGCCTGGTAAACTTGCTTCACCTTGAGCTCAGTCCAGTAAAGGATTACCTCCAAGAGGGAGACTGAACCAGAAAAAAACAGACCCTTGCAGGCACTGCCACTCAGCTTCAGTTCATCTCAATTTGCTGAACTTGAACTGAATTGAACCCAGATTGCTAATGCCCCCCACACACACCAGGTACCTAGCAGAAGTGAATTTAAATTCTCCCTGGAGGAAGGCCGCATCATACTGGGTATCAGATTATTTCCAGACAACAAGGAGTCTTGCCAGTGCCAGGTCCCACACGTAATCACTAATAACTAGTCCAACGGGAGATTAGACAACATGCACATAGCCCAGCACAAACAGACAAAAGAAACAGATCCACAGGGGAAATGGGCATTCTTGGATCCAGACTTCTAAATAGCTATGATGCTAAGTTCAGGATGGTTAAAGGGAAGATGAAAAATGAGAACTTAGAAAGAAAAAAGAACTAAGTAGAAACTCTAGAACTGTAAGATACAGAAATCAAATTGTGAAGTTAATGGATGGGTTTGATGGCATATTAGATATAACTGAAGAGAGATTTAGCAATTTGTAAGATGGGTCAGGAAAAAAATTCAGGAAGAGGCCTGAAGAGACAGAAGTGTAGAAATAGTACAGGAGAGAGGGTGTATTAGTTTTCTATTGCTGCATAACAAATTACCCCAGACTTGGTGTTTTAAAAACAAACAAGCACCCATTCATAGTTTCATGGTTCTGTAGGTCAGAAGTCTGCACAGGCTTGCCTGGGTTCTTGCCCAGCATCTCATCAAGCTGAAATCAAGATGTTGGCCAGACGGTGCTCTCTTATCTGGAGGCTCTGGGAAAGAATGTGCTTCCAAGCAGCTGCAGGACCCAGTCCCCTGCAGCCATAGGTCTGAGGTCCCTATCCCTTGCTCTCTGTCAGCCAAGGGCCACTGTTCTCCTCGATCCTCCCACAGGCCTTCTCACATGTCCCCTTCCATCCTGAAGGCAGCAGTGGTACGTCTGATCCTTCTCAGGGTAAAAATCTCTCAGACTTTGCCCTCTTCCCCCTAGCCAGAGCAAACTCTGCTTCTGAAGGGCTTTGTGATTATATTACCCCTCAGCTCCTGTTTGTTAGTGAGGATGCTAAGCCCTGTTGTAGGACACCGGGTCCAAGATACATAAAAATCAAATGCCTAGAAATTGGTAGAACAAACTACTTTGACAGTGGTTTGACATTATCTGCTAAGTATGTGCATCCCTAATCTTAGCTATCTACTCATCAGAAATGTGTGCAGAGGGGATGCTGAGAATATCTCTCCCCGTGCAAGAACATTTATGACTGTTTTTTTGTAATCACTTCCAAACTGAGAACAACCAAAGTACCTGTCAACGTTCTGTCACATAGTCATGCAAAGGAATAATATAGCAGTGACCCAGAATGAATTACAGCTACACGCAACAGCAGAAGAGTCTCACCAGTGTAACACTGAGCAGAAGTCAGACACAGCTGATTTTAAAAACCAGGCAAAAAGAAACCATGGGTTGGGGCGCTTGGGTGGCTTAGTGGATTAAAGCCTCTGCCTTCAGCTCAGGTCATGATCCCGGGGTCCTGGGATCAAGCCCCATATCAGGCTCTCTGCTCAGTGGGGAGCCTGCTTCCCCTTCTCTCTCTGCCTGCCTCTCTGCCTGCTTGTGATCTCTGTCTGTCAAATAAATAAATGAGTAATCTTTAAAAAAAAAAAGAAGAAGAAGAAGAAGAAGAAGCCATGGGGGCTATGGGGAGGGAGCTTGAAAATTCTTGTTCCTCTGGTAACAGCAAGGAAGTGATTATCCTAAGAGTCAAAAGTAGTTATCGTCTTTGGGGGACAGGAGGGATAGTGATTAGTAGTAGATGTTGGGGGGTGGGGGGAATGCTGACAAAACATGGCTCTTTGTGATCAATCATGGAGCTGAGGAATAGGAAGGGAAGTCAAGGAATGAATATCAGACAAGCATCGCCTTCTCACCAGTACTCAATGTTGGAAATCCATGGAGTTCAGAGAGAAAATTGAGTTTGAAGTCAGAAGACCAACAATCAATGCCAAGGGCAGAATAAGGTCATTTATCTTCCACACATTTTTTTCTGAGGAAATTTCTTGAGAATGTACTCCACCAAGAGAGAGAATTCAAGAACATGTACAACCAGAAACATGGAGGCCAGTGAAAAGAAACCCCAGGGTGGTAGCTATGCCACCAGCCTTGAAAGGAACTCCAAGAAAAAATGCTGTCAAAAAGAACGGAATAGACTCCAAACAATAATGGGAAAGGCTGCAGAAAGGGGTATTTTTCTTCTTAAGAAAAATTTGTGGTGGAAAAACCTAGAAAAAGTCATGGTCTAAGGTCAAACAGCTTTCAAAAGACATGATGTTTGAGCAATTGATGGATTGTAAGAAAAGAAAATCCATTTGACTTCGACACCACAAATAATCTCATTTTCTTATGAGCGGTGACAAGGGTCATGTGTTCCTTAGAAAATGAAATGTCATCCTGCCCCTGCAGTTAGGAACACTGACATGTGCACATGTGCACGCTCTCTATGTCTTGGTTCTCAATGTTTAGTCACGTCTGAAAGAGGACACACAGAAGACTTAGCTGTAGAGACCAAATAGATATGTCATTTGAGACAGAGTTTGGAGGAAAGGAAAGAGAGTAGAGCACTGGAGGCCAGAGAGATGGAATGTGGTGGTCTTGTCTTACACACTGGGAGTCTAGAGGGTCCCTTCCTCCAAAGATGATAGAACAAGAAGTTTAGGCACGTTGTTTAAGTAACTAAGGTGACCAAAGGGAAAGTTTAGAATAACATGAGAGCAAAAAACTGGGAGGTGTGGGGCTGTCAAGTAAAGGGACTAAATCTTCAGTTTTAGGGGAGTAGTTAGACAACTTCTGAAGTCGATAAATGAGGAAATGCTGATAAAAGTATATTCTTTGGATGGGACACCTGGGTGGCTCAGTTGGTTAAGCGGCTGCCTTCAGTTCAGGTCATGATCCCAGCGTCCTGGGATCAAGTCCTGCATCAGGCTCCTTGCTCAGCAGGGAGCCTGCTTCTCCCTCTGCCTCTGCTGCCCCTCTGCCTGCCTGTGCGCTTTCTCTCTCTCTGACAAATAACTAAATAAATAAAATCTTTAAAAAAAAAAAAAAGTATATTCTTTGGAGTTGAGAAGGGACCACAAGAATTAAAACCAGAAATAATGGAAGGTGGTCGCTCCAAGCGTTGGAACTAGGAATGGAAGTGTGTGTCTGCTCAGAGGCTCAGAATTTAAGTCCATTTGGCTCATTTTGGGCAAAAACTTCTCAGATCAAAAACGGCGTGTCTATTTTCAAATTAATACTGAAATATAGTAGATACAAATACAAGTGTGTACATTTGTTGTACAAATAGATTTATCTGTAACATTTTATAATTCATGTGAATGTTACATTTGTATATGGGCATGTGGATTGACCTATGTGTACACATGTACACTTAATGTGACCTGAATTGACGAGAAATAATTACAAAGTAACATGGAATTTCTAGCCTTCAATTTAAAAATTTAAAACAGATGGAATTGAGGGTCATTGGCAAAACAAACAAACAAACAAACATGAATAGGGGTGAATACGTGGAAAACGGTGTTACAAACTGCATAGAATAAATACATAGAAACAATATTTTAGATGGTGCTTGGATTCTCACATGGTCCTTAGCAGCTCTTAACCTCTGGTGAGGAGCCAAAGGGCAAGAATAGCACCAGCAGTGTCATTAGTATAGTTTATACCAAGTGCCCAAACAGACTACTCAATTTTTCCTATTTTCTGGAGGTAAAAAGGAACCATGACTTTTGGCTGGGAACTTGAGATGCCAGAAATGCAGCCTCTGCAAGATTTTATTTTTACTATAATAGCACAAGGAGTTATTTCTAGTCAAATTTTATATAGCCATTGCTTACATTAAGGCTTTTGTATCTTGGGGATTTACCGTGAGCTGAGATCTTGGCTTCTGTTTCCTTTTTTCTGATTCTTTTGTCTGGGAAAAACACAATCAGAGCTTGTATTTATTACGTCCTTCTCATGAGCTCAACCATTTCCTCCACTGCCATATGCCAGATTATACCTATATTGTATTCTGTGATAACCAGTGACTTTTTTTTTTTTTCCCCAACTTACTGGCATATTCAAACTGAAGAGTTCACTTCTTGGCTGGTCTTACACACTTTATATTAAATTACTTGGTTCTGAATATAATAATCTCAACTCATATAAGGAGAAGTCCAGGTGTGTGTCCTAACTGCAGCTGCCAAGTTCGTGCCTCTGCAAAGGAGTCAGTCCATCCCACACTCGTAGCCAACTTGCCTTGTTCTTTATGTGTAGAAGTACCTTGAGTGGAAGCAAGCAGAAAGACATTTCCTTATTTGTTACTTATTTTTAAGGGGAATGCATTGAATGGGCATTGTGCATTGTAGTCTTTTCCAGAATCATCCTAATAGGTCCCTTATTATATTTCCTGATTATAGTGCTGCTTTTGATACAGTTCTTGGGATAAATGTTGCAGTCAAGAAACTAAGCCGTCCTTTTCAGAATCAAACTCATGCAAAGAGAGCTTACCGTGAACTCGTCCTCTTAAAATGTGTCAATCATAAAAATGTAAGTTATGTCTACATTTCCTCTGTATAATGTTGTCCATGATATGGTCATCTTGGAGGGTCTTTGGAAATACATTGAGTTCAGACCTTGGGTAAAATAGTCATAACAGGAACTATTTAAGGGGTTCTATTTTCTTGACAAAATTCTTAATCAGCGTTGGGGAAATTAAAGTCAACAAGAAGCATCATGGTCCTGTCTAGGTCTGACAGCAAGATCAGTTAACCTGTAATCATTTGATTTTCACTGTTTCTGTTTCTATAAAATGGCAACAGTATTGACCTAAGAAACTGAGAAACAACTAGCTAATTTTTTTTAGAAAAACATTGTTCCATAAGGTAGCTTTTTACCTCGTATGATGGACATTTCAGTTCTAAATAAATGTGAGTAGATGGTGTGATACTCAAGGTGTCTGTGCTTTGACATTTCCACCAAAATCAAAGCACTGTGAATTTCAAGGAGAAATTGTGTTTCTCCAGAAAATGAGGTACACAGGCCCATTGTATGTCCACAGCTGGTCTCTGAGCATTATCGTGAGGATGATTTGGTAACTTTGCCGTGTTATAAAAAAATTGTAAAGTGTTATATCTGGAAGGGGCTTTGGAGATCAGCCCTTGTGACCCCTTATTTTGTGGCAGAGGAGGAGTGTTAAAGACTACACTCAATGCTACATGCCTCCCTTCGCTTTAGCATTGATGCTGGATCATTCTGGCATACGGACATTACATACAAAACGAAGACAAGTTTATTCTTTTGAGTCTGTGTTTTGAGTTTGTTTTTAATTTCTCCAACATGTGCTTTGTTTTACTTATACATTTAAAATTTTTTTCAGGTTATGCACAAGTATGGTTATTGTTTTTTTTTTTTTTAATTCATACAGTATAAACAAGAAGGCAAAAGTCATCGAATCCCTCAGATCATTATCATTAACATTTTGGTGAGCATTCTTACACGTGCACCTACATATTACATGAACACGATCAGCTGTGTTATGGTGCATCCTGCCTTTTCCCTCGCGTAATACTCTTGGGCTTCAGATACATTACGTAGTACACATGCACAATAATTTATTTAACCAGTCACCTGTTACTGGATATTTGGATTGCTTCCAGTTTTTGCTATTATAAACAGTGCTGGAACAAACCTCCCTGTACCTGCATCTTTGCCCACCTGTCCAGGTGAACTTCTTAGTCAAAGTGTGTACTGCACACTTCTGATTTTAGTATGTGCTGACAAATTGACCTCAAGGAAGACTGTCAGTCTTACACTTTCATTGAGACTGTCGAGGGGGGAAAAAAAGATTAAGAACGTGTTTTATTTCAGAATTCCCCAGCACTATGTACATATTGTTGGTTTTTTTGTTGTTGTACTTTGCCCGTCTGAGAGATGACAAGTGATATCTTATTCTTACTTCTGAAGTTCAATTCTTTCCATACTTTATCTCTATTAGCCATTTATTTTTAAAGAATCTGTTTCAGAAAAAAAAAAAAAAAAAGAATCTGTTTCCTGTGGCCTCTGACCATTTTTCTCTTGGGCTGTTGGTCTCTTAGGTTGCTTTTGCTATATTAGTTTTTTGGTGGTTTTTGTTTTTTGTTTTTTTTTTTGGTTTGTTGACCTTGGTTTGGGTTTAATATGACACATGTTCTAGGTTTCCTGTCATGTTTAGAAAAGGCTTTTCTATGCCAGGATTACATAAATGTTTATCCACATTTTAGTGTCCTGTGGTTTCATGGTTTACATTTAAATCTTCGTTCCATGTGGAGTTGATGTGAAGTTTCAGTATGGATCTGGTTTTATTTTGCCCTCGGTTAGCCGGCCACCCTAATCCTATATATTCTCAGTCATTTGTCTTTCCCTTGGTCATTTGAAATGATTGAGGATGTGTGTTTGATACTTAAGCGGTGGGACTCCTAGAGGCCTTTCCACAACCTTCTTTAAGTAAATACATAACACTGTGAGGGGTTTACCTTTATCATCCTAAAAATACAGGTTTCACCTTCATATTTCAAAACTTCAGAAATTCGTAGAGCATATTTCAGTTTTCAGAGTCAACATATTGCTTTGGTGTTTTTCTACCCATAATGTCTACCTGTTTATGTTCAGAGCCCGAAAGACATTATGTGTTAAAACTCTGTCATAATGAGTTACTAGAGATACATCAAATGTGATTTGATTAAAAGTATATCGTCTTTCCAAGGTGAGAATCTTAATCATTTAACTTTTCTCAAATACCATGTAATAGGATATTTTGGTAAAACTAATAAAAATAATAAATATTGAGCTCTGCTATGATTTTTCAGTTTTAATACATTTTTAATGTTAAAGTTAATTTTGATAATTAAGTGAAGTTACCTGACATGCTGAGGAATAATAAATCTTCTCTTTCCAGATAATTAGTTTGTTAAATGTGTTTACACCACAAAAGACTCTAGAAGAATTTCAAGATGTGTAAGTATCATTTTTACTCAGTAACGCACCATGCATCAAAGACTAAAAATTTAGAAAAGAAAGTAATTGCTTTTCTTACTTCAGAAATGTAGGTAGCAATATATTTAGCCACTTTTTTCTGTGGAGGAGAAATGTTTGTTTGTTTGTTTTAAGATTTTATTTGTTTATTTGACAGAGATCACAAGTAGGCAGAGAGGCAGGCAGAAAGAGAGAGAGGGAAGCAGACTCCCTGCTGAGCAGACAGCCCGATGCGGGACTTGATCCCAGGACCCTGAGATCATGACCTGAGCTGAAGGCAGAGGCTTTAACCCACTGAGCCACCCAGGTGTCGCGTGTGGAGGAGAAATGTTAAGAAAGATAATAATATTCAACTATTTGTGCCTATATATTTTCACCTCCATAACGGACAGGATGACTGGAAATAATTCTTCGGAGCAGACAGTGACCATTAATGCTGTTGATTTGCTTTGCTGAAATATAAAATGTTTTTCTCCAGTGCCCCCGAAAGCCAGGATGACAGGGTTCAAGGCTTTATAATTGTTATTTGAAATCATTATATCACTAAACACCATGCAATTCCAAAATCCGAAATAGAATTATCTTACAAACAGTAAAATATTAATTTATCGTATTGAAATAGAATGCCCAACTCATCCTAAATTGAGTGGTGCATTCATTCAACAAATATCTGATTGCCACTTGTGTGCTAGGCACTCTCTCGGACTTGGCATACTTCAGTGACCCAAACAGGCCAAGATCCCTTTTATGATTAAGAATTGCAGGCCGTCATACTCGCTCTTAGAGCTTTGCAAAAGCCAGAGAAGATACGCAGTCAACGTAAGTAAGGAAGTGCCGCCATCTTAAGGGTGTCACAAGTGTTCTGGAAGAAATGAGCTGGGTTAGGGAATCAGAAGTGCGGGGGGGTTAGGAGTCAAGGAACATCCTAAGCAGAGGAGGAGAAAGACCTCACTGGACTGAGGATAAAGAAACCTGTAAAGGAGGCTTGGGATTAGTCCTACAGATATTTGAGGGAAGGTGAGATCAAGATAGAAGGAACAGGTGTATAAAGGAGTGGAAGTGGGGCCATGCCCGCTGTGCTCTGAGAGCTACAGGTGGCCAGTGTGGCTGGAGCAGAGTTGGGGTGGGGCAGGGAGGGGCAGAGGAAAGAAGAGGGTGAGCTCTCGGAGAAGTGATGGGGCCAGACCCTCCTGGACATCGAGGCCACTTACTTCAAGTCAAGGCAGTAAGACCCAGCAGAGGAGTGAGCTTCCCTGATTTACATTGTCAAAGAATAACTTTAGTGTCTTTGTTGGGACCAGCAGGGGTGGGGACACAGAAGCCCCACAGCAATGTAGGGGATGGATGATGGTGGTTGCATTTAGGCCAGAGGGTACTAGGTAAAGGGGACAGACCGGAGGCTGAAACTGTCCCGAAAGGGGAGCCACTGTAGAGGACTGCAGTGTGAGGAAGGGGAAGCTGAGGGTGACGCCTGGTGCTGGCCTGAGCCCCTTACAGGTGCTCCCAGCTGAGACAGGAGGGCAACAGGCAGAGCCAACTGGTGGGGGAGGTAGAACTGGGGGCTCAGTTTTGGACATGGGCCTCGAGATGCCTCTTGGATACCCAAGTAGGCCTGGGACATGGACAGTTAGATACATAAGTCTGGCATTCAGGAGAGAGGTCTGGGCAGAAGGTACGAACTTGAGAGTCGACGGTCTGCAGATGGTGTTTAAAGTGTTCAGACCAGCGACCAGAGGAGATCACCAAGACAGTGATAGTCAGAGAAGAGGAGGAGGCCAAGGCGTGAGCAGTGGCACCCCCAACAGTAAGAAGTTGGGAAGGGGAGCAGGGCACGGCTAGCCAGGACTGTAGGACAGGCCATCGGATTTAGCGACATGCAAGTCATCAAGGGTCTTGGCAAGGACACTTGCAGCAGGGTGGTGGGTCACATATCCCATGGAAGTGGGCTTCAGAACAAATGGGAGAAGAATGGGAGATGACAAGTATAGACACCTCTTGGGGGAGTTTTGCTTGCAGAGAGCAAGAATATGGGGTATAGCTGGTGGGGGCAGAAGGTCAAGCATTCTCTTAACATGAGAGAAGTAACAGCACGGTTTCTCTACTGGTAAGTATGATCCAATAGCAAAAAAACCAAACACATAAAGATTTGGGAGAATTTGAATATTTGAGATTCTATTGTCTATGATTTAAAAATTGTTTTAATGTGAAATACATCATGTTGATAGTTTTTTTGGAAAACTTCTGCTAAGTTCCATTATATGTTTGCTTTTTTTTTTTTTTAACATTTTTTTTTTTAATTTTTTAAAAAAAACATTTTTTTTTTTTTTTTTTTTTTTTTTTTTTTTTTCAAAATTTTAGCTAGTGCAGTAACTAAGTAGTAAGTTATTACTGTTTCATATAAATATAGTTTAGGACCATAAAAGAATTTTGGGTGATTTTTATGTGTACATGGCTGATCTTTTTTCCCCCAGGTATTTGGTTATGGAATTAATGGATGCTAACTTATGTCAGGTTATTCACATGGAGCTGGACCATGAAAGGATGTCCTACCTTCTTTACCAGATGCTCTGTGGTATTAAACATCTGCATTCAGCTGGTATCATTCATAGAGTAAGTAGTGACACCACGTTAGTTTTATTTTTAAAGTCACAACATTTTCCAGTCATGATTCTCCAGGCACAAAAGAACTTAATATTTTTTTAAAAGTTGCCAGTGTCAAAAGAATCCAAAGAAATTATGGGATCGTGTTGAGTTCCCAAATCCCACTGAGATTAGAAGACATCTGTGGAGCGCCTTGTTGGCCCAAGCCCGCACAAGCCACTCCGGATGCAGGCTTGAGCTGCTTGGTTTGATGCTGCAGAAGAAAACTTACCTTTTTTTTTTTTTTTTTTAACCTTTAATTTTGAAGTAACTTAAAGTTTAAAAGTTACAAGAATAGAACAGAGAACTCCCCAATGTTATTTACCCAGAACCATCTGTTTGTTCATTGTTAATATGTTTGCCGTATTTGAAATCCCATTTTTAATGAGGCAGGAGTTTAGATTTGGGGTGGGGAATAGTTAGAGGCTAAGTAGTAAATGATACCATTGCTTGAGAAGTCATACATAAATTATAGCCCAAATACCCATTTCTTAGAGTCGTAAAGCTTTGCCACTGCAGCATCCTGTCCCCTCGGTGGGAACTTCTGGAATGGCCCAGGATGGGTGTCCTGAGCCCCTAAACTGGGATTTGAAGGACAGCTGGCTGTACTCTGTCAGGAGGTAGCATTTAAAAACCAGTGGATACAGTGTACTTCTGTAAGCTGCTCTTAGGAGTTTTTGTTTCTTTTTTGACTTGTATCACTGTGCAAGCACAACATCAGGATAGAATTTTCTTTGACAATAAAATGTTGAGTGAGACTACAGGCAGAGATAATAGAATTGTGTTGGAAACATTCTTAGCATTCCCTAAATTATTACCGTACTAATTCTGTCAACAGATTGTCTTTAGATATTATATTCCAACATCAAGAAGTTGTCATTTCTCTGAACCACAATCTGTGTGGGGAGAAAGATAGTGAGACCGGAACAAAGAAGCCTATTCATAAAGGAAAGAATAGAGAGATTTTCAATGGTGTGGTAGATCTGTTAGGTGCCAGGAAACATTGGCCACAACTGCACAGCCCACCAATCCACAGAGGACCCAACTGCCCTTACCCCTAGCCACGAGCCTCAGATCTGGGACCCTAAAGCCCGCGGGCCTGGGCGGCATACCTGGTCCCCAGCCAGGGCCCTGTGTGGGGCCTCACACACACTGGGCTCCTGACTGGGTGATGTTATTTAAAATATGGCCTTTGCTGCCACCAAGTGTCCAGTTAAAATAATATAAATTCTGTTGACAAATTTTCTTTTAAAATAATATTATTCATTTTTTTCTTTTGTTTTTATTTAATTCCAGTTAGTTAACTTACAGTGTAATATTAGTTCCAGGTGTACAATATCATGATTCATCACTTTGATATACCCAGTGCTCATCACAGCAAGGGCCCTCCTTCTTCCCCATCACCTGTTTCCCACATCCCCCTACCTTCCCCCTTCTGGTGACCAGTACTTTATGCTCTTATAGTGAGGAGTCTGTTTTTTGGTTTATCTCACTCTCTTTTTTTTTCCCTGTTTGCTCATTTGTCTCTTAAATTCCACAGAAGAATAAAATCATATGATATTTGTCTTTCTCCAACCGACATCTTTCACTTAGCATAATAATACTCATTTTTTAAATTAAAAATAAACATTTCCCAACATACTATTCTCTCTTGCTTCCTAAAATTTTCACAGTCCATTATATAAATTAAGACACTCTTCCTAGCTCTTAACCACATTTTGTGTTACACTGACGCTTTAAAATAAGTTTCCAGCCTTACTCTGTTAAGCCTTATCAGTTTTGTAAAGGAAAATGGTTTGCCTTACTTGTTCCTCCCTTCCTGGGCCCAGAGATTTGTGGGGAAGCAGTATCCTAGGGGCCTTTCCAGGGCTGCAGCACACATGCCCATGTTAGGGAATGTTCGGTCCCTGAAGCTTGGTCCCACTCCTGATGACCAGAATATCAAAGAGTGTCCAAAGGGGTGTCTACTTTGCCCAGCACAGTGTTTAGAAACCCGAGAACACCCAAGCAGATGATCCCACCAAGCCCTTCTCCATCCTGTCCACCACCCCACCAGGACTTGCCACTCCGCCTGCTTGTCTTCTGCCTGTTCACACATTCACGGGTCTGCTGGACTTTGTGCTCGCTCGTGAAAGAACCACGTGCTGGTAGTGGGAAAGGGAGATAGAGCAAATAGCGAGAAGCTCCCAGTGGCCCACCCCGCCCACCCGGCCAGGACCCAAGAGGTGATGAAAAGCCCGTTAGTGGGTTGACGGTTGTCCATGAGCCTTTCTGGTCCTTTCTCTCATACACAGTGCCATGCACAAAATACACATTTTCAGTTTTGCTTATTAAAATGCTTTTATACTAAATATAAAATTTAATTATTTGAAAAATAAAACATTGATAGCCTCACCACTTTTTACCTTGTATGATTCAAAAACCTAAAAGAAGGGAAAGTCCTCCAGCTCTCTGCTATTGAATGGGGGTGGCTGGTGATAGCAGCTGGGTGTTTGCTCCCAAACTTTAGAGTGACTACCTTACTACCAATGTATCTGTGTGTACTGATGTCCTTTTCAGTTTATACTTTTCAAATGGGATCACCTTGTTTGTAATTATTCTGCAACTCTCTGAACAAGTTGGTTGATTTGTTCCTTATTTTAATCAGGGGTCAAATAGTTCTACAAATATTTATTAAAAAAAAAAAAAAACAGAGTCCCCACTTCCTCCTTCTAATTTCTTGCTCCCCAGAAGCAAACTCCGTTCTCTTAGCTGTTATTTTGGTGTTTATCCCCATCCCTTCCCTTTGGGGCATAAGGTATCACTTTAGCTCCCTCTCCCTGACCCAAAGCTTCCCCTTCCCTTCGGCTACCTTTCCCGTGGCCTGACCTCCCTGGTGTTGGCGGTGTTGTCGGGTTTGGACCAGTATGGGTGGTGTGTTGTCTATCACTCTGACCACTTAAATGCCCCCTGCTCCCCGCAGTCTTCTGTTTACACTGCGATAGAATTTCTTTTCCTTTCAACTTTTCGCCCCCAGAGTTAAGGACACTTGTGGTCTTTGTTCTTTTGCTTTTCAAGGAGCGAGTAGTTTGCTCTGCTCTCCTTGCTACGTTAACGCAAAGCCTTCTGCCAAGCGTCTGGGTTTCCTCTCAGTGTGTCCAGGTGATGTGCTGTTTCATTGCGGATGGACCCTCGCTCTCAGAGCCTCAGCGCTGTTCCCACCTTGACTGGCTGCCCCCCACCCCCGTACCTGATGCGGTGGGGGGGGGGGTCATCCTGGCCCTGGCCCTAGCATTTCCCTGGGGCTTTCCTTAACCTGCTTCCTGACCCCTTTCTGTCTTTCTCAGTTTATTCCCTTATTTTGGTGGAACACATCCTCCAATAGCTTCTGCAGAAGTGGTGCATGGGAGGTAAACATTCTTGCGGCCTCAGATGCTTAAAACTCTTCATTCTGCCCTGCCTGTCATGTGATTTGTAGTTTGGCTGGATATAGAATTCTTAGTTACAAATCAGTTGCCCTCCGAGTTGTAAATGCAGGACCCTGTTTTAGTGTGGTGTAGTTTGGCTTTTGAGCTTTCTAATACCATTCTTACTCCAGATCATTTGCAAGTGCCTTGTTGTGTTTTTCTCTCTGGATCCTCTAAAAATGTTTCTTCATTTCTTGGATTCTGAAACGTTACGATGATATGCCTTGATACGGAAATTTTTTCATTCCTTGTGGTGGGCACTTGATGGCCTTCAGTCTGGAAGGCTATGCCCTAGAGTTCTGGAAAATTTGTAGTATTTCTTTCAGAATGCCCAGAATGCCTGGTGTCAGAAGCTGGGTGGGGTGGGGCTGGGTCAGGATGCAGACCTCCGCTACACCCATGCCCTCCCTGTGCCTCCCACCAGCATATCTGTTGCTGTTGTGCCGAGGCCCAAGTCTGGAATCTCGGTTTCAGTTTTTCTAGGTTATGGGGCCATAGGGGTGAAGAAGGAGCCTGGGCCTCTCTTCTGGGATGGAGCTGGGGAGATCTGGAAAGCCCTGACCCTTTCCTGGGCATTGTGGTCCCCCTTGTGGTGCTCGGGCTGCTCACTGAGTTTGGAATGTACCACACTCAGCCAAGTCATTTCCTGCCTCTCCGCCACTCTTTGTCCCCAAAGAGCATGTGGGGTTTTTCATGGACAGCATGGCCTGCCAGGATGGGACTGGACCTGCGAGACTCGTACTAGGTGAAGGCCTGTGAGGAAGAGCTGGGGAGTGGGCTGCAGGGATTGAAGAGGCGGGTGGAAGGCAGCCCAGGGCTGAGCTGTTGGAGGGGCTGAGGGCAGGGCTGCAGGCTGCAACTATAGCCCTCAGAAAACTTCCCCCACCGCAGTCCCCAAGCCGCCTGCTGGAGTCTGGTGTCTCCGAAATGGGCTCCTGCCCCACACTGTCACAGGCCAGGAGCCACACAGGTCAGGAGGAGCTCTGTGGTGCTCCCCATGGGTCTCTCTTCCTGAGGGGAGCTTGAGAATAAGGTAGCTCCTGTCCCAGCAGTTGCTCTCTGGGCCACAACAGATGCACACTTTCCCTTCTCCACTCTCTGTTCCCTCGGCTGTCGCCTTGCCAGGTCTCCGTGGCTTGCCTGCATGTGACCCAGACCTTCATATCTGAGGGGTCTGACTCTGGTGGCTCAGAACAGGCTACTGGGCCCGTGGATGCAGCCAGCAGTCCCCTCCCCAGTCCTGAAATTGTATGATCGGAACAGATACACTGGGCAGTTGGAGTGACCCCCTCACTGGTTCCTTGGCCTGCAAGCTAAGAGGTGTCATGATGGCAAAGGCCAAATGGACACATGAGACTGTCCCACCAGGATAAGTCAAAAACATGTTTGATCTCCGGGGTCGGCATAGATAGAGGAGATTAGGGCCACCACTGAAACTCAAGGAACTCAAGGACGGCGCTCCATGTCACAGCCCTGTTTGAGTCCCCAGTCTGGCCCTGGAGGAAACTCAGTGGTCCCGGAGAATGTTCGCTGCCAAGGCCTATGCAACTAGGTAGTGCTGGTTGCAGCTGCGGTGCTGGCCACCATAGAACCGATTAATAAGGCCTTAGTACAGCGTGAAGCCACTGACAGGGCAAATGCATTCTTCCGTGCTGATTGGGAGAGAGGGTCAGAAACTGTTCACACACAGGTGGGACAGACAGCAATGTCCTTCCGTAGTGTGCACAGGTCTGTGTCGTCACCTAGCTGGAACCATGGTGCTTTGGGTCATCGCGTTTCAGGGTCCACTCAGAGCTCGTGTCCCACAGTCCTCCAGATGACTGCTTAGCCTCCTGTCCCAGGGTTCAGTCATCCCGGTGAGTGGCTGCAGGTATCTCTAGGGAAGAACCGGGGAAATCAAGGCAGCGGACGCTTGTCACCATGTGCAGGGCCCTCCTTCCTAGGACACCGCTCTGGTCATTGGGTACTGATCTGAGAACTGGCCGGGAAAAATGGTGCCTTATAGGGTGACGCCCTCGGCCCCCTTCTCTGCTCTGGCCCTTCTGTGGCTATAGTTGTTTCACGCATTCTTATTGTCTGTCCCAGGGATGCTGTGCTCTCGTGGCCATCCCCACATCTGTGGGCCAAGCCCCAAGTTCGTGTGTCCTTTGTATCTTAATGTGTGTTTCTTATTTTCCCTGTTTGGGGTGGTTTTCAAGCTTTGAAGGGGCTGAACTGTCTTTCCTCTACCACCTTGAAGCCCTGAGTCCGGTTTGGTTTGGAAAGCTGCCACTGGTTATGTGTGGAGGCTGAGGAGAGAGTGCCATGGAAGTGGGGGGGGCCATCAGGAGCCCCGAGACCTTTTCCAGCCACTCCTGTGGGCAGGCATCCCCAGACTAGCACCTTTCAGGCCTGCCAGGACATCACAGACAGCGGCTTTGCATTTTGTTATCACGGTTTTCCAGCAGATGGCAGTAAAGGGTGTCCTTCCAACCAAATCCGCTCGAGGGGAGGATTTTCTGACAGCTTGGAAGGGGCTGGAGACCAGCATGTTTTCTGCCTCATTCTGCGGTTCACTGAGTGGTGGACGGCGAGCTGCTCTACTAACCCTTTTCCCTATGGCTTTGCTTTAGATCAAGGCTGGGGTGGATTCCAGAGGAAGAAATCAGCTTCCTCTAAAGAAAGCACCTTTTGATATCCCAACCAACAGCATCAGGAAGGCTGTGTGTTGGCCAGCTCTGGATGTTGTCATTCCTTTCCAAAAAGACCAAAAATAGTTCCTTGTCATTTGGACATTTAAAAAATGTTTGCTTCACAAAGTTGAGCATTATCTCACCTGTTAGCAGGTGAGATACCTGTTCTTGCCATAGTCTTGGTCTAAAAAAAAAAAAAAGAAGAAGAAGCTAGAGATAAATTGGTTCTTTGCCTTAGCTGTATGACTGCCTCCTCACAAGGCACGCTGGTGTGCGTGAGGGGCTCACAGAGGGATGGGGGAGCTCCCGTGGGCTCCCCCACATCAGGACACATGGATGAGAGGGTGGTGGCCAGTGACGCCAGGGCTTCTGCATGGGAATCGGTGGGAATTTTCATTGCGTTTTCAAATATTACATATTTCTACCGAATCCAAAAAGTTGAGAACATTCAATGGTAATGAAACATAATTTTATCTGATGGAGTTTTTAACTGTCTCAAGGCACACCTGTGTGCACCCATCTGTGCATGTTCCTTGGAAGGCATTAGTCAGGTGCTGGGCCTGACCCCTCACACTGAGTCTTCCCTGGTCCTCCCATGCTCGGTGTGACTAGAGAGGACAGCGGACAGGGGTAGCTGAGAAGGCACAGTTTCTAGGGCGGATGTGCAGGCTGCCACCCCAGCCAGAAGTCAGATCCCTGGGGCCTGAGGAAGGATCTGGGGGTGAGAGGGTCCTCGTGAAGAAAGGCCCGGGGTGGAACTCATGTTCATGTGTCCAGGGTATGGGGTCAAGGGGAGGGTGACACATGTGTTCACACAGCGAGCAACTTTGGTGCATCCGCTGGATGAGGCTGGGCTCTAAGAGCTGACAGCACAGCCCGGGTGTCCAGTCACAGAACTGGCTCTGGCAGGGGGAGATGAGGGTGCCTTCTGGGTGGTGTGTGCGGTGGGGCGGGCTTGGGGACCATGGAATTCTTTGTCTGAGAGAAGAAGTCTCCATTCAAAGATTGTGGAGTTAGAGAATTCTAGCCCCGGGCTGAGTAGTGTGGCAGCCACGAGCCACTTAGGGCTGTCGAGCACTCAGAATGTGGTATCATTGTTAACATGCAGTGGATTTCAAGAACAGTACCAAAAAAGGAATATGAACTGTCTCATTAATCATTTCTGTCTCATTAATCATTTCTGTATGTTGCTTCACATATTAAAATGATAATGTTAATGGGTATATTGGGTTACATAAGGTACCTTATTACAATTCACTTTATATGTTTGTATTCATCCTTCCTAAGGTGGCTACTAGAAAATGTGAATTCCGTGTGGCCTGCGTTATATTTCTGTGGGACAGCTGGGGACTGAAGGAGGAGCAGGTGTGGAGGAGGGAAAGCTGGGTTCTGTGGGAGCTCCAAGGAGGTTTTAAGCAAAGAGATGTCGTGACGTTTCCCACATAGGGACGAGGGCGACCATCTGACTTCTTGAAGTGAATTTGTATTTGTTTCAATTTGAGAGAGTTGGGTTTTCCCAAATTCCACTTTTCAGTTCTAACCCCCCTTGGTGTCCCAGAACTCCGGTACCTGCGCAGCCCCCAGCCTCACGAATCCCTGCAGTGCGAGGTTGGCGGTGTAGTGTGCTCTGGGTCGTCATGCTCACCTCAGCCGTCTCTGCCCTAGGACTTGAAGCCTAGCAACATCGTAGTAAAATCAGACTGCACGCTCAAGATCCTTGACTTTGGCCTGGCCCGGACGGCGTGTACCAACTTCATGATGACTCCATACGTGGTGACGCGTTATTACCGGGCGCCTGAAGTCATCCTGGGCATGGGCTACAAAGAGAACGGTGAGTGCGGGCGGCGCCCTTGTGTGGCGGAGGCTCACCACTAGCAGTGTCCCCCTGGGCCACAGGAAACACCCTGGGCGGGCCCACAGGTGCAAAGTCATTAATCTCATGTATCCAGGGGCTGAAATCACCCGCTTATACAAATTCACTTTTGAAACGAGTACTTTTTTACCATCTCCAACTTTAACATGCTTAGTTAGGACACATGTGCAGGCCCACCACACCAGCAGTACCTGAAGACCTCCCCGGGCCCCCTCCAGGCCTCAGCCCCCATAGGGAGCTGTTACCCTGGTTTCCAGTGCCAAAGCCTGGTTTTTCCTTATTTTTTGAGCTTAGTACAAATGGAGTGATACATGCTGTTTTTTGTGTAAAACTGGTTTTTTAACATCAACACTTAACTTACTCGAACAATATCAGAGCCCTTTGTAACTTAGCTCTCGACAAATTTGTCAAAAAGAACTCAATCACAGTTACTCGCTAAGAGTCTGAAACTTAAATTTTTCAATGTTAAGCATAAAAAAAATAAAAATAAAAATATCAAATTGCTGATTAAAAAAAAAAAAAGAGTCTGAAACTTCGTGCTGGTGATCTGGATGGTCACCAGTGTTCCCCCCCCCCCAAGAGATGTCTCTCTATGGCTTCCTGGTGGCCCTGTTGGCTCCTCCCATAGTGCTAAGCAGGGCCCAGACAGTAGCCCTCTGTCTGGCCCTCAGGCCCCAGGGAAGCCCAGACCAGCGCACCTGCTCCCGGGAGGTCCTGCAGGCATGACAGGGTAGCAGAGGGTCGCGCAGTGGGCTTGGTGTCCATACTTGACGACAGCCGGGCCTGTCTTTGTTGGGAGGGGGTCTTGAGAAAGCTGCATGGGGGTCTCGGGCTGGTTTTAATCACCTGGTGTTTGGTAGTGGACATCTGGTCTGTCGGGTGCATCATGGCAGAAATGGTCCTCCATAAAGTCCTGTTCCCAGGAAGAGACTGTATCCTTCACAGGGAGAGACCCAAAACGGGCCGTGGGGGCGGGCGGGCGCCTGCCTGCACACAGCTCTGGGGGCACAGCCACCTCTTCTGTCAGCGGGTCTGTTTGTTTCCCATGCTGTAAAGTGCTGGACCCTCAGGCACTACAGCCCAGACTGCCGGAAGCCAAAGGCCACAGCGGAGGCCGGCAATCGTTCGCACCATGGGGACAGCTCACCCTTAGCTAGCCATTTATTTTTCCATATTTGTGTGTTTAGTACACTGTTAGAATTCCTTTTCCTCACCTTTGTTTTGTTCATGGCACTTCATAATTTTATCATTTCATTTTATTTTCAGTTGATATCTGGTCAGTGGGTTGCATCATGGGAGAGCTGGTGAAAGGTTGTGTGATTTTCCAAGGCACTGATCGTATCCTTCCCGGGACCTTCCTGGCCATGCTTTCCATAAATGGCGAGGCCAGCAGGAGCTCGAAAGGAAAATGTTGTACTTGTAGACTGTATCCTGGGGGGGTCTTTATTATGTTTGTTAAATTAGCGTCACAAACCAAGTGGTTCAGTTTTATGTTTTCTTTTTCACTTGACTACCTGTAATGACTTTATTGAGGCTTAGAGTTACATTAAACCAATTATGTTAGTTTTAATTTTATCAAAAATAGCTTAGGAATTGATTTATTCTGTCAAACATATTTTGATATTTAAATGAAAAATACTGTTTATTTAGATCATTCAGTTGTTTTAACGAGGAAGGTTGCTGTCTAAGTTAAACAGGCCAGTATTATTGTGTCATTCAATTATTAGTATACCATTTTGCTAGTTATTAGTATGGACTAAAATAATTTCCCCCAAAGTAAGAACTGAAGCACACTACATAAGACTGAAGTAAAAGAGATCAAAAAGAAGTTTGGTGAGGAACAGTATGTGTTAATTTTCTTGCCTGTTACTCTGCTAACATTTTGTAGAAATTTTTAAAAGATCCATCTAGAAGGTTCTTTTGTGACACACCTGGAGAAGTCTGAGTAAATATACTATGCAGAAGATTAACTTAAACTGTGGACAGCAAATCACATTAATAACACAGAGCATAAAGCAGACGAGACAACATGCTCGTTAGAGTAGCTTTCCTTGATCACGCTCCTCACATTCTCCCATCTTTAATATTTTTCACTCAGACATGCTCCCTTTTTCATTTGCGTTCTAACCACTTACGATTTCCATTAGTCTTTGATTTTGTTTTTGCCTTATGAAACCTTAAAGTGGTCTCTGTCCATTGGCAGATTGATGGTTATTTTTAAAGGAGATGGAGCTGTGTAGTCAGTGTTTTGTATGTATTTTATTAAAGTTATTTTAGTTTTTTATAATTTTATGAGGGTGACTTTCATGTAATATAAATTCTTTACAACACAAATGTGGAATGAAAAGATTTGTTCCTATCATTTTATTTGCCTTCCTTGACATTTTTCACATCACAGATTTTATGTGAAGTTAAATACAGCATTTTATTTTGTTCTAATAAATTCTGGCAGTTTTCCATTGCCTTTCCTTTGATTCGCTTGTTCCAAACTATAAATAAGGAGGTCTTTATCTTGCAAACAGACTCAGCTTAAAAGGGAAAAGTTGATGTATTCTGAAGATAAATAGTTTAGAAGGATCTACTTAACATTTCATTGGTCTCAATTCCTGTTCATTTTGTGCCCTTCCTTTTTTGAATTAAGAATGTTTTCTTCAGAAAGTATAAAAACTGTGGATACTTTCTGGTGCACTACAAAGTTAATTTGAAGTTCCTCCCTTAAGTATTAACATCTTGCCATGTCGGTAACTAATATTTTTATGTATCAGGCCACCTGATGTCATTCTCAAAATATATATACAGGGTTAACATCATTTTCCAAAGGCAATTTTTGCCCACTATTTCAAACATTAGATTAAAAATTACTAGAATGGGAAAAGAATCTGGCATCTAGACTGCAGTGCTCTGAGATGTGCTTCAGATCCATGACCTGGAGTAGAAGAGGACCTCCTATGCCACAGTAGCCCATCAGAGACAGGGAGCTGCCACCCTCAGGCGCACAGGAGTCCCGGCCTCCCTCAGCCTCGATCCCCCTTCAGCATAATGAGAGGTCCATGGGAGCCAAGGGATAGTAGTGCACGCACACACGCAGAAGGCCCACCAGGCTTGTTGGGGGTGATGTTTCCCTTCCCACCCTTTCACTTCCCCCCGTTAGTCTACAGAAATGACCCTTGATCATGAGCACACTAAACATTTACTCAGCACCTGCCCTTTTCTAGGCTCCGACTTGACTTATGTTGGAAAAGGTTGTTCCAGAGGCTGGGCTGAAGGCAGACAGACTCACGGACAAGAGCAGGAGCAGGGAGACGAGGGATGTTTCAGAGGATCAGTGGAAAGTGAAGGTGGTGAGAAGGGCTTGAGGGCTTCCCCATCCAGCTCCGGCAGCACATAGGAACACAGGAGTGAGGGAGGAGAATATGCTAGTGACTCCAGTGGCCAGAGCCCATCCCCCGAGCCTGTTCAGCTCCCCGGCTTCTTCCACAATAATGTGATTGCATTTTTCTAAGACAAACCTCCATTCCTTTTTTTTTTTAAACAACTTTTAAAAATGGGTTTTTAAACATTGCTGTTTACATGACTTTTTTTTTCCTGGCCTACATTCTCTGTTATCTTTGTTTACAGTCTCAGAATCACTTTCCAGCTCATAATGCCCATTATTCCAAGCCCCCTATGAACTAGGCAAAGCTGGTATTTTCTGCATTTTACAAACAAGCAAGTTGGGCGCCAAGGGAGACTGAGTGTCCAGCACCTGGCACATGGTTAGAGCACAGTGGAGTCCGAAACCCAGGTCATGTGCTCTGAAAGGAAGTAAGATGCACTCCAGGGTACTGCAGTGATGGTCAGGGTCAGTGCCAGAGGAATGAGAATGACCTCACAGAGCTGTCCATCTAAGCCCAGTCCTAGGCAGGCCCGTGGTTCCGTGGGAGAGGACAGGGCCTGGGCTCGAGAGCCCCAAGGCCCGGCTCATGCACCTTCCTCCGTGGGGCCTCTGCTTTCCCAGCCGTGACCCCGGGACGCAGGTCTGTCTACTTCAGCGAGCTTTCGAATCTAAGTAGCCTCGGTGTGAAAACTGATTTCGGTTTGCTAAAGTCCTATTTATCTAACTTCATCTTTCATCACCTCTATCATGGGTATCCTTCAGTTACAAGATAACTGTTATTTGGTCTAGAAGGGGAAGGCATACGTCCCATGGTGGGTCAGTCTAATATGCTGTGACCAGAGTTTAGAAAGGCACAGAGGTTTTAAAACTAGTCTTCACTTTGGAAACCCACACCGTATGTGCATATTGTATCAAAACACCTGTGGGATGGCCTCACTCATTACCTGTCAGTAGGTCAAAAGAGGGTTTTCGTGTTTCTTTGAATGATGCTACTTCATGTGACGTGACCATAAGGCCCTTCAGTTGTATTTTCCTCAAGAGACTCCTTAGATATTGATCAGTGGAATAAAGTCATTGAGCAGCTAGGAACACCGTCTGCGGATTTTATGAAGAAACTGCAGCCAACCGTGAGGAATTACGTAGAAAACAGACCGAAGTACCCCGGCATCAAATTCGAAGAGCTCTTTCCAGATTGGATATTCCCATCCGAATCCGAACGAGACAAAATTAAAAGTAAGAGGCCCTTTGTTTCCCTCATCCCTGTTTCCACAGTCTGGGCACCGCTCTCGGCCTCTTCGGGTCCTCGTTCCGACGCCTCTGGATGTGGGGAGATAAAATAGTGGAAGCCCTCGAATAAAGTGAGGTACAGGGCAGCCTGAAGTCTTAGAGACCTGAGCCCTCTACAGAATGGCCACGCTGAAACCTTTGGTCAAAATGAAAAGGTTCGAGTCCCTCTGAACCAGTCTTATGTTAATTATAGCAATTGGAAATCACAGTCTTTGGGTACAAGGAACCCTCGAGTTAAGATTCTAGCCCATAGTAGGATAAAATAAAGCTCCTCCTCCCCTTCTCCCGTGCCCATCACTAAAGCTGTGATTTAAGGGAAAGGATAGATTTCTTTCCACCTCAGGGTAAACTGTGCCTCCGTCAGAAAAGCCCCATCTCTCCTTTGCCTACTGATGTGACCTTTAATTGCCAAAACTTAGGTGAGTTACTGAGCATGTTGGTTTTTTTCTAACAAGTAATCTCTAGATTTTTTTTTTAAGTGTATGTTGCCAACGTTACATGCAGTTGGGTATAGGGGAGGCATCCATGAAGTGTTCGATCATGGGCAAACATGAGATCATTGTATGGCTTCAGAGGTCTGTTGTGATCCATCTGGAGGGGACATGAAGAGAAGAGCCTGCCGGTGCTCCATGCCGCATGTCAAGCAGTACAGCCCTTAGCTGGGCCCCTGGCCCTCCCTAGTGGCAGCTCTCCCCAGGCACCATTTCGGCCTCCTGTTGGCCTGTGTCCCCTTGGTGCCCTGTCCCTCCCTCCCCTCCCAGATCCAGAGCCAAGAAATTGAGGTCAAAAACCTGATGGTAGTGAAAGTAGCTTCTTGGCTTAATCGTAAAGAAAAAGCCTTGATTGATTTGGAACCTGCCAAAATTTCTCAAGGCGAATACATCTCTATTCTGTCTGCACTGTCACTGTGATGTTTCCTCTGTGATGTTCTGTGTCTCGGCATTCGTGTATTCATCTAATCATTTGTTTCCACCCTAGCAAGTCAAGCCAGAGATTTGTTATCAAAAATGTTGGTGATTGATCCCGACAAGCGAATCTCCGTGGACGAAGCTTTACGTCACCCTTATATTACTGTTTGGTATGACCCTGCTGAAGCCGAAGCAGTAAGCCTGTGTTCCAGAGGGACTTGTGGGGGAGGGCAAGGCGTATGTTTCCTCGGATCTTCCATGGCTCAGTCCGAACGGCTGCGTGAAGATAGCAAGTTCTAGATTTCATTTTTTTTTAAAGATTTTATTTATTCATCCGACAGAGAGCACAAGCAGGGGGAGCAGCAGAGTCTCCGCTGAGCAGGGAGCCTGATGCGGGGCTCGATCCCAGGATCCTGGGATCGTGACCTGAGCCAAAGGCAGACGCTTAACCCACTGAGCCACCCAGGTGCCCACAAGTTCTAGATTTCAGAGGACTCCTGACTACAAAGAGGCCAGGGGTCGTCCAAGACCTGAGTCCCTTTTGGGACCCTTGCTCCTGGGGCCGTTGCTCCATGTAGCTCAGGAGTGGACGGGCCTATACTATGGTGACACGTTGTCTTCCTTTATACACAAGCTGGAGTGGGATCGTAATGCCACCACTTACGAAGCCCCCAGCATGTGCCTGGCAGGGTGCCGCGTGCTTTGCCTGTAACAGCTTGTTTAGGCTACCCGGTCAGAGAGGCTAAGAAACTTGCTAAAAATCCCAGGGTTATCTGTCCTTCCCCAGAGGCACCCGCCAGAAGGTTCCCAGGGCAATTCCACTTGCGATTGTGGGCTCAGGGCCATTCTACCTTAGCAGCAGTGGCCTGAACGCTCTCTGGCTCTAAGACGTAATTCATGGGGGCAGGCTCGCTTTAGGGCTGGCCTGTGGGCTTCACCACCACAGTGAACAGTGTTTTAAGGAGCCCCATTTATCGACATGTGCTTTTGAAGCAGGTCTTTGGAACAGTCCTGTGCGAGTCGGGGATTGGGTAAGGGGGCTCTGACGTGAAGAACTGCAAACCTGAGCCGGCACAGTCCTCATCCAGGGCGGGTCACTAGGAAGCAGCTCATGATTACTGCTTCATAAGTACATTTGGGCAGATGCCGTGAGAGTGTTTAGAGATCATGTCATTATTAAGAGGACCACAATAGCTCCTTTTTTTTTCTTGGTTAATTTCTCCCTAATTATTTTGATTCGCAAAGTGACGTAACATCGCACTTCTGAAGAAACCTTTAAGGAGCCATGTATTGAATGAAAGTCACGTGATAAATAGATGAGAATCTCCCCAGCGATTTTACCGTCTTCATGCCTCGTTACATTTATAACTGTTGACTTCACGTGTCATTTAATTTTCAGCCACCACCTCAGATTTACGATGCCCAGCTGGAAGAACGAGAGCATGCGATTGAAGAGTGGAAAGGTAAAGGCAGATGGGACTTTGCCCCTCACTCGCCTGTGCAGTCACTTGTCAGCAGGAGCTTCTAGGGAAGCGGAAGAGGCCCTGCAGCCCCTCTTAGCCCAGGTTTTCCCACCCCCTAGTAGAGCAGGAACTTGCAGTTAACAAAGAAGAGCCGGTATCAGCTGCATACTGTGGCTTCTGAAGACTGTGAGATTCACCAAACAGCCCATGGGCAACTAAGCTCGTAACCAGGAGGTCGAAGAGCAATTCCCCATTAAAAAGCAGAATCAGTAGGAATTGAGAACCTGGTTCAGTGCAGGTCAAACATGGCAACGTGCTCTGCCCAAGCGGATTACGTCTGCTCTCCCCGGGGTGACCGGAGAGCCGGGGCCTGCATGAACATGGGCTCGGCAGAGCGACACACACAGCCACGCTCCGTGCTAGGGAGGTGCTCAAGGCATTCTCTCGGCTCACAAATGCCGAAACTCTAGGAATCCTTGATGCTTCCCCGGTAGGTTGTTTGCTTCACTTACAAGTCAGAATCAAGGAAACTAAGGGTGAAGCCAAGAAATGACTGATGAGTTTGGATAAATTTCTGGCCGGGCTGGAGGGGCTTCTCCCCCACAGCTGGATACCGGTTCCATTTGGAGAACCCCGAGTAATGAGAGAAATGCTTGCAAATGGCGCGAAAGCGTGTGGTACTTTCAAATGCTCCACGAGAACCACTTTGCTAGTCCCCCACCCCTTGTAGAACCCCTTTGGGTACAGAACCGCCTTCAGTCAGGTTGAGAAGATGTAATGTATCGAAACGTGGGTGTTTTGGTCTAGGTAGACAGTATTATTGAGTTAACCGTATATCACTGTTAAAAATAAGGCATTGCGTTGCCCTTGGAGTGGCCCCGATTGATTAGGAAGCAGGGTTCAGAGATGCAGAGAAACTGATGGAGGCTTCTCCCTTGCGTGTCTGTTTGAAGAGCTGATTTACAAGGAAGTGCTGGACTGGGAAGAGAGGAGCAAGAACGGCGTGGTCAAAGATCAGCCTTCAGGTTAGTGATTGCTTTGATAGCTTGAGCCCAGTCTCCTTTTCCCCGTCCAACTTTCCTAAATGGTAGCGGCGCGTGAGACGGCAGCTCACCCGGCCCTGGGTCCGAAAGCTCCTGATGGGAGGTCAGCTGCCTTTCTGGGGTGTCGCAGTGGCAGCAGCTGCCGGGCTCCTGCTTCAGGGGGTTAGAACTGGGTTGGAACCAGCCTGCTTCCATGCTGGCCTCTGCTCCTGCCAGCTCCACCTATAGATGAGGGAGCTGAATTTCAAATGTCACCACAGTGCATGACCCTCTCTGGGCAGGCCCCACCCGGCTCCAGAAGAAAATCCGTGCAAATCTAAGTAAAATGCAGTCTGGTTCCCTTGTGAGAAAGCTGTTCATCTAATTCTCCTGTATTTGTACTTTGCCTCCCTGGTGGCCGATTCCCCGTGGAACTGTCGGAGATAGAACACGTGTGGTGTTTGCCCAGGGTCGTAGGGTCCCATCTGCTTCCTGAGTGAGATCCTTCCACGTTATATTTATTCTCTCACTTGTCCCCCCGCCTAGAAGCCTGCACTCATGCACACGGAGGCACAGACTCTCTCTTGAATTTTCTGTTCAGCATGACGTACGTGTAAATTATCTGGAGATTTCGTAACTTCAGCACAGAATTAGGTGCCTGTGGTTAACAAGGCACAAATTGAAGACTGCAGGCCCTGGCCTCTGAGAGCTCAAATGTTTTATTTTTTGCTTGCACCAGACTAAAATACAGGCCCTAGGAAATAGCATAGTTTCATGTACCTTAAAGACTCAAAATGTCAATTTTCAGGATATATAAAACAAAAATAAAATGAGTAGGAGGCCACTAATTTTTTCCTTTTTGTTTGTTTGTATATAGTTTTTATTTTAGCATGGTTTTCTTAATTTAAAAAGCCAACATGTAGTACATCATTAGTTTCAGATGTAGTGTTCAATAATTCATCAGTTGCATAGAACACCCAGTGCTGATCACATCACGTGCCTTCCTAATGCCCATCCCCCAGTTACCCCATCCCTCCACCTCCCTCCCCTCCAGCCACCCTCAGTTTGTTCCCTAGACTTAAGAGTCTCTCAAGGTGTGTCTCCCCATCTGATTTTTTTCCATTGCGTTTTTATTACAAAAGAATTGTTCCAAGGTTACTGCTTTTTCCCTCGGACAAAGTATTGATGACTGTAGCTGAGACGTCTGATGACCCTCGAGCCCTTATTTGGGCTTCAGCCTTTTGTTACACTGAGAGTTGTAGGATAAATTCACCAACTTTCTATGAATATCTTTTTTTAAAGAGGCAGGTGTTTTTCAGCGTGATTATACGCATGCATGGATATGATTTTCAGCTCCCGGGAAGAAAAGGAGGATGTTTGGGATCCTGGGCCCAGAGAAGGACTCCAGGAAAAGCTGGGCACGGGCAGCTGGCTCACCACTTGTCCACACTGGCAGTGAGGCCTGGAGCCACGCCAGCCGTGGGGGGGACGGCCCCAAGGCTCCACTGCCCAGACCCGCAGCAATGTCGTGCGTCAGATTTTATTCTCCTTGGTTTTCTTAGCACAGATGCAGCAGTAAGCAGCAACGCCACTCCGTCCCGGTCGTCGTCCATCAACGACATCTCGTCCATGTCCACTGAGCAGACGCTGGCCTCAGACACAGACAGCAGCCTCGACGCCTCCACGGGACCCCTCGAAGGTTGCCGGTGATAAGGCACGACCCGCAAGCTCGTCCTCAGTGAAGGAATTCTCGCTTCCATGGGCCTGAAATGCTTGGGGGTTGATGGAACCAAATAGAAAAACTCCATGTTCTGCATGTAAGGAACACGATGCCTTGCCCCTGCTCAGTTCCAGTAGGATTGCCTGCCTAGATTTCACAGTGAAGCAGACTGTGTCTGAAGAACACAAGTGCGAGCCACACTTGTAGAGAAGTTGTGCAAGGTCATTTCAGGTGAGCAATTAGAGTAGATGATTTTGTTTTACTTTTTTTTAAAGTTGTACGGTAATAGTGACAGTTTCTCATCCTTTGTAACCGTTGGGACTTATATGCATGTGACCACGTGTGCTTGCTCAGGCTTGCCCTCTAGCACTTTGGAAATCAGTATTTAAATGCCAAATAATCTTCCAGGTAGTGCTGCTTCTAGAATTCTCTCTTAATCCTTTTGAGTAATTTGGTGTCTGTCCAGGAAAAAAATAGGTTTATGTGTATTAATTGGCCACCATCATATTATCATATCTTACCTTCTTTTACGGTATGATTTATTCTATCTTTTGTATTTCAGAAGGAATATAAGTAAATCTATTTAATAAATAAAAAAGATACAACTTTTCTTAAATCTGTCATGTTTTGGGCTGAGAATTATCACTGCTAAAACCAAGACACCTTTGTGGACACTGTTTGCTCTAAATTGTCTTAGTCTGGGATGACTGTACCTTTAGCTTTATTGCAAGATAAAATTTTCTGTTTTGTGCTGCTTAAGACATATATGCCTTTAAAATCCTAATCTACCCTCGCTCCTTTCTCCTGGTCTTCTGGACTCGTTAATTTAAACTGCCACCTAAAACTTCGCCTTCTTTGTTAGATGCCTAACACTCCATGTCAATAACATGACGACAGATTCTCAAATCCATTAGTGGCGAGAGTAGAATTTGACAAAACGGTCACTGAAGATGACTGCAGCAGTGACTTCCTGAACACTTGCTCCCTCCGAGACTGGTCAGGGTCCTTCCCCAAGAGAGGCACCATCTCCCAGGAGAGAGTTTTCGGTTTCCAACCTAACGCTCTTACACAATTTTCTTTTTTTGCTGAAAGAAACCCTGTAAACCGCCCCCCCCACCCCACCCCCCAGCTTGGATCTGTTTTAGGAAGCAAGGCGATTCAGAATGCCTCTGGGATGGTGGTGTTTTCCAGTTCATGGAACATTTCCTTTTCCTAAAGGGAAACCCAGGGATCTTCTGGGAAACCCCCTCATGGGGTTGTGGAGGAAATACCCTTAGGAGTAGTGATTAACTCTTGAGTATTTTCTGATTTAAAACCGCTCACCTGAAATTGATGCTTTCAGACTTTCTGATGTGGATATCACTCGGAGTTCCCTAAGCTAGAGTACTGGATTATCACGGCGGAACTGGGCTTACCATGGTCACATTTTGGCTCACTGTGCTTATCCCTTGAGCTTCTTCTGTTACAAATTCATATCCCGTGTTTAACTCTTTGGGAAACTATTGGGTCAACTTCTATAGAATGTGTTCTGAGGAGGAACTTGGATAAGAAAGTTTATTATAAATGTTATCTAAAACATAGGATTCTCTCCGTCACTTGCATCTCATTGGTTGGTCTTATCTGTGGAGACTGGAGCCCTTGATGAACAAAATTCATGTTGAAGTAACAGTTTTATGTTGTGAGGTTTAGACGTATTCAAATACAAGATGGAAATGCTGACTTGGATTGAAGCAGAAACACCTATGATGTGGCTTAGGATGGCTTTGGTTTCGGAGGCCTGATGGTACAGTGAAGAAAGTTATCATTATCCAAATATAAACATCTTAAAACGGCCTTCTCTCTAATATATGTTCTTTAAAAAGACTTCACTCAGTCCGTCTTTAAAAAAGAAAAACAGAGAGAGAGGAGCATTTAAAAAATGTGTATCTGGGGCGCCTGGGTGGTTCAGTTGGTTGGGCAACTGCTTTTGGCTCGGGTCATGATCCTGGAGTCCTGAGATCAAGTCCCACATCGGGGTCCCTGATCAGTGGGGAGTCTGCTTCTCCCTCTGACCCTCTCCCCTCTCGCCTCTCATGCTTTCCCTCTCTCTCTCAAGTAAATAAATAAAATCTTAAAAAAAAAAAATGTGTAACTGCCCTAGGCCTCGGTGAACGCAGCATGGGGATCTGAGGGCACACAGGGCTCCTGCTTCTGAGGGCCCCTTTGTGAGTAGAGCCGGGTGCCCCTGCAGACTGGCTTTCTGCTCACTTCCTCCTCCGTGCATTCACAGGGGAAGCCTGCGTCCCTGTGGACGGGCTTCCTGCCATGCCCACCTTCAGTAGAAATACCTCGCCCCACGTCAGGGTCCTCCCTCCTGAGCTGAGATGCGCCGGGTCCTGGTGCAGTATAGACAGTTTCAAACTGCTCTAGAGGGATGAGGGCCGACGTTGGAAAAAGAACTAAAACGTGCTCAACTTTCTGGTCTTTTCTATTTCATTTTTGTAATTTATAGTGTACATAACCCTGGAAGTAACTACTTTGGACACATATTTTTATAAACTAGGAAATTTATCATTAGCCTGGGACTTGGACTAGGTTTATTTTATCTGTTGGCTTCATTTTCAGTCAAAAAGGAAATGACTGCCTCCCTTCGGTCAGGTCTTGACCTCCAGTGCAGGTTTCTGAGAGTAGATGGGGTCTCTCAGAACAGGAGAACATTCTAGAAACACAGACTGCCCAGTATTGATCAGTTGGGATCATGGAAACGGCAGTGAGGCTCTGTTCTGTCTGGGACCCAAAACCCAGAGCCTCTGAGCGGGTAGGAGAAAACCCTTGGCAGGGCCCCCGCTGATGCCCAGAGGCCCTGGCTGGACTGCTGGCTGAGACACTGGTTTAATCCAGATGCAATGCCCTGTCTGTCATGGTGACTATGTGTGAGTTCAATGGATTTCTAACGTCGTCCTCCGGTGTTGCGTGCTGGCAGCCAGTACAGGCGTGACCTTCGGGCTGCAGCTCTCAGAAGTAATGTTGCCTAATGTCTTATAATAAAATACATCATGTGTGTCTTGATTGGTGGAAATAATACAGATATATTTTAAAAGAAGAAATGTAAAGCATGTCCGGTTTTTGTGTGGTTTCAAGTGACACTTGGCTGTATTTTCTACATCACCATCTCTGATTACAGATTTGACGTGAACTCGGGTCGGTGTTGGTGTATCATCTCCATCAATGTCAAGCAAGTGTTGCTAATTGGCAGGCAAACCATTTCTTTTACGTCTCTGACTGAAAAGATGTTTCTGCAAACTCTGCATCTCAGTTTTCAGAAATAATGCAAGTATACACAATCGAATATCCTGAGTACTGGCGCAAGCATTTTCCTCACAGGGCGTGGCCAGTGGGTCCCCACCTGTCGTGCTTAGAATCATTCCCAGTGCCTGTCTGCTTGTGGTTTTGTACACGGGATGAGCCACTTGGATTTTGCTTCTGGGTTTGAGGCGCTTTAAGAAGTCCACTCCTCAGGGATGCCCGGGTGGCTCAGTCAGTAGGGCATCCGACTCTTGATCTCAGCTCAGGGCTTGACCTCAGGGTCAGGAGTTCAAGCCCCACGTTAGGCTCCACACCCAGTACACTACTTAAAACCGCAGGACTAACAGGGCCCTCAATGGCTTTCTCTTCTCTGCCTAAAAGAGCTAGAATCATTCCAGATAGAGGAGTATCGGACTGATTTGTAAAGTTCCCTAGAGAAGGAAAACATTTCTCTTAATATGGGTCTGGGCCCCATTATCTCTCTTTCCCCCTTCAGACTTTCAATGCAGACGGTAAAAAAAAAAAAATCCTTTTTATTTATTAACTGTAATGGTTAAGTGTAGTCGTAAGGGGGGGTTTTGGTAGGGGGAAGGGTAATCTTTCAAAATAACCTAACGTTGTCCCGATCCTCCTATGGCTCTTCGTATGAATTTAAGCGTAAGGTTCCCTCTGGCAATAAGGCAGTCACAATATTTTGTTTTCAGACCAGGAAAACTGGTAACAAATGGAGAGTGGCCAGTCATGTCTTGTTGAGACCATCTGTGACCAGGATTTAGGAAGGATGTGCCTGTCACAGCCATGGGGATTTTGTCCTTCCCCGAGTTCTCAAGGCCCTGGGCCACACTCCTTCACGCTTTGAAAGAGCCAGGCTTTGTGGGCCCAGAGTCCTTGTGAGCAAGGGTGTTTGCTACCACCCCCTCTCTGTGGGCACTTGAAAGTTGGAAGGGAAGTTGGAGTGAGTTCTCTAACACAGCCCCAGGCCCAGGGAAGAGCAGGGAGGAAACGCGGGCTTGCCGGTCTACACACTGCCTTGTGTCCTGCAGGTGCACAACTCACTCTTCTTTTAGCCGTAAGCCCTGTTGGGGGGTCTGAGGGAAACGGTGTCCCTCCCCCAAGAAAAATGCCATGAACACCAAATTCTGCCACACTTTCTGAGGAGTCCTGGGCCTTGGTGGATACCATGTGAAGAGCCCCATTCTGCATTCTCCAGGAGCAGCTTCTGGAGGCTTCCTGTGCACGGAGGGAAGCAGAGCCTACAGGGGAAGGCCCTTCCACTCTCACCAGCCGGGACACATGCACACGGATTTTGGGGATGTCTTCACTCTGAGCCCCGGCACTAGTCGGTAGTCTCAAAAAGAGGACATAAGGGTTCAGGTCCAGTGAAATGCATCATTTCTGTGATTCATTCCATGTGAAATTTAAGGGCAAGACTGAGAGGAACTCTAGGTTTATAAGACAGACTTCATGGAGACACAGATAAAATTAAATCCATCTCTTCCAAGAAATAGTTCACGCTGTGCTTTGAAATAAACTGAACTTGCTCCCGAAATCCCTATTTAAGTTGTCGGTTCTCCAGTAATAGTTTCTGCCCTTCTCCCAAAACTCTCCTGGCTCTTAGATTCCTATAAGTGTGCTTTCCCCTTCATTTCATTTGCTCACTTGGCTTTCATAAAGCCTGACCATGGGAGGAGAGACCTTCCAGTCTACACCTTGTTCAGGGCAGAAAGGCACCTGAGGCCACCCAGCCTCTGCTCAGAGGGCTTTAACGAAGGGAAGTCCCTCCCTGCAGAATTCTGTGTGGTTTGGGCCAGCAGGAAGTTCTTTTTTAAACGGAACTGAAATCTATTCCCAAGGCTTCCATGCCTGAAGCCCCAGGCCTTTCCCTTGGGTGAGATAGAGGGAGTCCTCCGCTGGTTGAAAAGGTAGGCCACAAGTCTTCCTTCCTCTGACTTCAACTCAAAGTTCCTCCAACCCTCTCCCTTTGGCCCCCAGAGCCTCATCACGTTGGTGCACCCTACAGATGTGGGCCCCAAGTGAACAGAATATTCCAGATATAGCCTGAGCAGCAAGCGTGCTCGGCAAGCGAATCCTCCCCAGCCAAGTAACACCATTGCAGAGGGCCTGAACCTTCCCAGCCATGTCACCCGCGACCCCTACAATCTGTCAGAGTCCCTGGATTCCTGCCATGACTGTTAGTCCCGATTCTGTCAGACTTCATGAGCCTTCCAGTGAATCTCTCAGTTTTAGGAGCATGAATGTGCCTTCTGAAAATTCATCCAGGTGGTGACTAACACCACTGAGTGGGAGGACAGAGCCTCGAGGTGGACCCCAGCAGTCACAGAGAGGGACCCATGTGGCCGGCACATTGTCCCCTCCTCAGCGGGGTCCCTCTGCCAACAAGGTCGGGAAGAAGCATCTCAGTGGGACTCCACAGAGAAATCCCAAGAGCACTTCATCACATCTTGAGAAAATGAGTCTGTCACACACCCTGGTGCTCAGCGTTCTTGCTTTGGTTTTCTCTTGGGAGGAGCAGGCAGGAGACCCCGGCTTCCCCTTCTAGATCTGCACTCTAGACAGCTGTTGGCCACTCAGAAGACAAGACCAGTCATTGTCCCACGTCCGCAGGTCAGGGAATGGGTAGAGGAGCAGGGTTAGGGTTAGGGCCCAGCCCTCTGCCTGACCCTCGCTCCCATGGGAGGTTGATGCCGTGTGGCCTCTCTCCATCCCTCTGCTCCCTTCCCCGCCTCCAGCTCACTCATGTTAGCGAGCTCATAACCCAACATCACCC